GCACATTTGCACGTATGCTGCCATCACCATTTTCAAAACATTTTCTTTCTACGTGAGCCCTTGATACCAGCTCCTCATTTCCCCCCATCCCTCACTCATGAACCCTTGATAAGTTATCGATTATAATTTTCATATCTTACATCATCCGCTGTCACCCTTCACCCACCTTTCTGTTGTTCATCCCACTGGGAGGGGCTTATATGTCTATCCTTGTGATCGATTCCCTCTTTCTCCCCCCACCTTCCCCTTCCCCTCCTGGTATCACTATTCTCATTGTTGGTCCTGAGGGGTTTGCCTATCCTGAATTCCCTGTGTTGCGGGCTCTTACCGTGTGTTGCATACATGTTATGGTCTAGTCTGATTTGTAAGGTAGAGTTGAGGGCATTAAAGAACTATAGGAAAGTTGTATGCTTCATCGGTGCTATACTACACCCTGACTGGCTCATCTCTTCTTTGTGACTCTTCTGTAAGCGGATGTCCAATTGTCTACAGATGGGCTCTGGGTCTCCACTCCACCACTCCCCACCCCTGCCCTTGATTGAGCCCCACCAGGCATCCTACGCCCTTCTGTCCATTGATTTTAGCTCACTTGTTGTTCCCTTGTCCTTGGGTTGATTGACTGCCCCCCTTCCTTTCTCCCGGCTGCTTCTTGTAAAGGTCTCTGTTACATTTACAATTTTTACCACACTTCCCAGTCATCGACAGATCAAGTCGGTGAGAACACTTCAAGGATGATATAGAAAATTTGAACACAATTATCAACAAACATGATTTCCTGGGGCTCCTTAGAGCACCAGACCCCACCACCTTGGATACTCCCTGTTGATGTCCAGAAAACACATCAATCAAAGCTGACAGCATGGTGTCCGAAAACAAATCTCAAAACATTTCCCGACTGATATACAGACAGCTGAGCCATCTCCTGGGAAGCTCAGCTCCAAGTGGGACAGCTCACTCTTGGGACAAAGGAGAGGTCCCAGAGGAGATCAGAAAGATCATGCCATCAATACAAACAAAACGCTACATATCAAAACGTGGGAAATTCCTCTAGAGTGGGATTTAACAGGAAAACATAGACCCTTAAATGTAGACCTTAAACAACCAGACAGGCTAGACCAATTACCCGACTGGCGGCTGTCAGAGGAGACACTGTATCTCACTAGATGAAGAAGTAAGAACGGAAAGAAGCCCACGAGACGCGATACAATGTAACCCACCACGCTGGCGATCAACACAATCCACTAAGACTGGCCAATAACAGCGAGCTTGACCAGTGGGGGGGCCAGAGCGGGGCGGTGGGGAACGACCCAGATAAACAAAGTTGGGAATAATAGGGGAGCGGCCCTGCCCCCCCACCCCCAGCTACACACCCAACAAGGATAACAAGTGCCAATCCATTTGCAAGCGAAACGAAATGAGCAAGTTCTTCTTAGGAAAAAGGAAGCGCAGAACTGACCTTGGAAGAAACAGAAATGGTGGAGAGTCCCACAGCCACGGAAGGGCAGTCATTCGAAATCTTCCCCCACCAGAAGCAGCAGGAATGGGGCATTCACTTCAGGTTTTACCACACAGTTGAGGGGTGGTGGGTTGGGGGAAGCAGGGTGGCGGGTGGGAAACATTCTAATCTCACACGAACCATCTCGGAATACAGGGTGGGGGTGCGCCGTCAGGGAGGGGGTGCTTCCCCCTCATTCTGGCAAACAGATGCCCTCGGACAGGGGCAGTGTGAGGAAGGCGTGCTGTGTCAGCGCATGTCTCACGCACAGGTACAGGATCCTGGACAAGGTATCGGGTGCTGGGATAACACAAAATAATAAATAACACGATGGGAAGGGTTGGTGAGAGAAGGTGAAGTTGGAGCAGGGAGACCCCAGCACGTGATGGGGAAGCCCAATGCCAAGGAGGCGGTGGAAAAGCCACGGGCCTGCTTGGGATGGGTGGTGTTCCAGGTGCTCTGGGAGGCACACGTGAGTGACAGTGCTCGGAGGGCCAGCTGGGAGGCCTGGGGAGGAGGAGGACGGCTGCCAGGAGGAGGGCAGGGTCCCGAGTAGAGTCCAGCCAGGGCAGGACCAGAGTGTCTCAGCCCGAGGGTGTGGGGTGGCTGTGGTGTGCTAAGTGGGAGAACTTAGCTCTGAGGGGAACAGGCACTGGTGGTAGGCCTGGGAAAGGGTTGGGACGCCAGCAATGGCCTCTCTGCCGAGGCGGGGGGACCCCTGATGCCACCACACCTGGCTCTGAGCTGTGAACATTTCCGGCAAAGAAACCAAACCAAAACACAAAAGAGAGCGACTCTCCCTGTCCCCTGTGTCCCTCACTTCAGCAAAAGCTGTGTGAGCTCAGCTCGCAAAATAAACAGGGCCCAGAGAAAACACGGTGCAGGCCAGTGGCCGCCCACCCGGCAGGGCCTGGGCCCCACCAGCACACATCAAGCAGGAACTGGAATGCTCTCCCCGTCCCCGTTGGGCTGAGTGCCAGCCCCCCCCCCCACCAGGCCAGGGAAGCTTGGGCTGGCCAGCCATTCCTGGTGGGACCCCAGGGAATGGCAGAGGGGCTAGGGGCCTGGAAGATGAGGGCTGCACTGATTGGACCCCTCACTGCAGGGACCAGGGAGGGACATCAACCATCTGTAAGGGTCCACTGTCCCAAGGGCCCCCTGTTCACACCTGGCATGTGTCTGAAGCACCTCCTTATTTCCTGGCGCTCCATTCTGTGTCCCCTGCCCACACGTGGCCACCTCGGGGAGCCGCTCAGCCCTAACTCGCTGGGTGGCCCCAGGCCACCGGTGCATTCCTCAGTTTCCCCAGGGGGACAGGAAGGTCCTTCCCAGGAAAAGGCTACGCTCGCAGCAGGGAGAAGCAAAAGGGGTGGGAGGCGGGAGTGCTTGGGGACTCAGCTCCCAGGAGTTAAAGCCCGCCATTTCCGAGTGAAGTGGGCTGCTGGGGCCCTGGAGGCTCCTGGCTGTCTGTGGGAACAGGCCTTGTAGGGCGGGGGCCGTGCTGCAGTAGCTGGGGCCCGGGGACTGTGGCGTTTCCTGTCTCAGGCCCGTGGTCAGCAGGATGAGGCCAGAGTTGTTGATGACCCTGATGGCCGTGATAATGGTGGTGCCCTCTGGGCCCAGCAAGGCCGTTCTCAGGGCCTGTTCCCAAGGGGGGGTGGGGGTGGGCGGCAGGCAGCAGTGGGAGCTGTCGTCATCGAGCCCATGAGGGTCCTTGGTCTCCACCTGAGCATCACCTGGGAGTTCAAGTCCCTCCAAGAGGCAGGTGGGGCTGAGACCCAGGCAAGACCCCCCTCCATCACAGCTCAGCCAGCTCTTCAGAAGGGACCGGATGCCTCATGTCTTTGTCCATACAGCTCCTGCAATGGCTCCCAGAAACCACCCCCAACACAGGGACGCATAACTCTGTGGGCCACCCCCCTAAGGCCAGCACTGGCCACCTGGCTGTCTGGCCGTGGCTAACCAAAGTCAAGTCCACTTTCCTAGACCTCAGTAGGCAGCCCACGTCTATTCCTCTAGCAAGGAGGGGCCCTGACTCCCACTCATCTCCAACCCCCAGGACGCCAGTTCGCATCTGTGCTTGCAGGGTGAAGGGCAGAGGGGAGGAGACCCTCAAGCTGGCAGCGGTAGAGAGCTCCCCAGAGGGCTGGGGAGGGGGCGGATGCTCACGTGGCCTGGGAAAGCCTGTGAGATCTGGCCTCTGCAGGAGGCCCATTGGCAGGGACTGGCTGTGAGGAGCTCACAGGACTGAGCGGGGAGACCGCAGCATGCACTGGGTGGGACCTGCTCCCTTGGCCCCTCAGGCACCAGGCACCTACCCTGCTGGGGTTCTAGGGGTGTGAGCCTCGAGTGAGAAGAAGGACTGAAAACCTGAGCCCCAGTCCACAGTGCAGAGGAGGCAGAGAGACCCCGGGCCTGAGCCCCAGCCCGTGGTACTGAGCCCAGCCTCCTAGGTCCCAGGTCCCCCCAGGCAGCAAGGATGGTCCCAATGGAACACACTGTCAGCTCACTACTGGGGGACAGAGTGAAGCCAGGCCCTGGGGTGGGGGTGGGAGGGCGGAT